CAAAAGTGCTTCAAAACATCTGAATCCGATGGTTCTCCCGATCGCAGACCAATATATTGCCGGTCGATGTGATGGCCACTCCTTCCAGACCTTTGAACTCGCCTTCACTCGAACCCCAAGTGCCGAATGCCTTGAGGAAAGTGCCGTCCGGGTTGAAGATCTGGACCCTATTGTTGCCGCTGTCGCCCACTATAATGAATCCCTGGTCGTCCACCGCTACACCCCGTGGGAACTTAAACTGTCCCTCATTTGAACCTATAGTTTAGATTTAATTATAATTATAGCAACAGTTTTAAAAAGCATTAAATGTTTGTTTTATGTGTTATACAGTAAGTTATTCTTGACATTTGCTTCGAGTAATAAAATTAATTATTTGTGTAAATTCGTTGAATACTTTGTGTTTTTTAAAAGCGCTATGAATTGCATACAAATGTCAACATTTATGTTCACTATTTGTTTCGCTCTATAAATAGCTGTTCAATGTCTCACATTATGTCGAAATAATGACATAAAAAACAACAGCGAAAAAAGTAGTGGGAATACAGTGTTAATGGTATGCGAAGGAAGGGATGGGAGGGATGTGTGCAACAAGTTTTTTCAAAATGCGACAATACCTTCGCTGCCAAAAGTGGAAAGTGATCGCCCGTTCACATCGAAGATCTAGTTTTTAATACAACAAAACAAGAATAACATTAATTTTACAAATAGTAAAAATATAACACAAGGTTTTAATCAACGAATCATATCATGAATATATGTTTCATCAAAAATTTCAGGAATTTAACAAAAACAATACAAACTTGAATCCTGTGATTATTACTGTCGCTGATAACGACTCGATTGGTGTTACTGACGGCGATATAGTGCGGGTGCTCTAACATCCCGGTCCGGCTGCCAATTGTGCCAAACTTTCCCACAAAAAGGCCGTCCGATTGAAACACTTGAATCCTATGGTTCTCTTTGTCGCAGACATATATAAAGCCCAACGCGTCCACAGCTATACCCCAGGGATAACTGAATCGGCTGTCGGATCGGCCCTCACTGCCGAAGGCCCTCATAAATCTTCCCGAAGCGTCAAACACTTGTATTCTGTGGTTAT